TTCGTCGACTCCTCCTTCACCGTCGTCACGTCTCGCTGCTTCTGTGGACATCCAGCTGCGAGCCGCGATCGTCGTCTCGTCTACGTGGTCGTCCCGACCCTGCGTGGTCATCTCGTCTGCACGGCCATCCCAACATTTCGGCTCGTCTTCATCGTCTCGTCTGCGTGGTTCTCCTCTCGCTCTCGTTCGCTGCAACTCAGCCTCGTCGAGCTGCGAGTTCTGCGGCTTCTACAATTGTCGAGCAGAGCTTTTTTGCTGTGATTTCTATGATTTGCTATGATGGAGCTTCTTTCGTCTACGGTTGAACCTGGCAAAATCTACTTTGCCCACGTAGTGGGTAATTCTCAGAGAGAGACGACGGTTGTCTTCCCCTCAAGTTATAAGGAGCAACGGGAGGGTGATTTCCCTTTTATCAAGATTGCAAGCAGTAAAACTGGAAAAGCAGCACTTTTTTTCTCTGAGCTAGAAATTTCTTCACTTACTGATAAATTCAATTTTGCTCTTATTGGAAAATTTCAGTGGGGACATCCACCTATGGAAGTTATCAGAAAAAGTTTTGATGATCTCAAATTAGCAGGAAAGTGGAAAGTAGGGCCCATAGATGAGAGACCTGTATTAATTCAACTAACCGTGTCTGAAGACTACACTGAGATTTTTTCCGAAAAATATCTCAACATTGCTGGTAAACCAATGCTATTCAAGTGGTCCCGGTCCCCTGATTTTGACCCCAAGCGTGAATCTCCTGCTGTACCGGTATGGTTTAGTCTACCTAATCTTAAGCTGCACTTTTTTCATCATCAGGTTCATTACTCTATTGGTGTCATACTTGGGGACTCTTTGAAGCTAGATCTACCTACTTTTAACTTAACCAGACCTTCTGTAGTCAGAATACTTGTTGAAAGAGATATTACTTTACCTGATGTTACTGAAGTCTGGTTGGGCACAACTCACAATGGATATTGGCAACAAATTGTTATGTAGCATAGACCTCCTTATTGTTCTCATTGTATGATGTTTGAGCACAATCTTGATAAATGTTATAAGCTTCATCCTAATTTGAAATCTAAAGATCAAGTAAATAAGAATGGATCTAACCCCATTGCTTTGGATATATTTGTTCCATCTGAAGAGAAAATTACCACAGAACAGGTTATGGTGTCTGAGTTAACCGCACCTGTGGATCCTCCCTCTGTAAATACTATTTTTGCGATCGATGAGAAGCTGGATGACCCTGCTGAGCAACCTACACTTTCAAACCCTCCTCAGTTGCAGGAAGCATTTGGTGAAGAGAAGACATTTTATGTTTCACACACACTTGAACCTATAGTCGTTGCAACAATTGACAATCCTTCTTCTGGTGCTCATCAGCTTTTATCTGCCCGACGTTTTGTTTACCAACACGATGATTAGATGAGCAAGTCTTCTGAGGAGGAATGACAGGTCTATTCAAGGAGGAAGAAGAATATTGGAGGCAAACTTCAGCTTGGGAACTTAATGGATGATACTTTGAATACTTCGAGAAATGGCTTGGCACTCAACAATTTGTTATCTGGATCTCGCCCTAGAACTAACGGCAGAGGCAGGACTAAACTGGCTCGTCACTAGCTACTGTTTTCTACGATTTTGATACCTTTTTTTTTGTTTCTCTGTATCTTTTCTCTTTTGGGGTATTTATGTGTGTTGTATCGTACGGGTAGGGTGCCTCTATTGGGCCCTCTCATACAACTTTTATGTATCTTTCCTATTTTAATAGATTTAGCCCTTGGGATTTTCAATATATACATATATATATATATATGCATCAATTCAAAAAATCCAATGAGCCGCTAGCTCCACCAATAACAACAGAGAGATCTTTCAGTAGAGGAATTCATAGCATAGTTCGATCAATTACAAATGAAGTTTGAACTAGTCAAGCCAGAAGAGAACACGACAGCCCGATATCTGAGGGGTTTGAAGCCTACTATTAGTAATGTTATGAAATTACAGCCAAACTGGGTATTGGGGGATGCTCAAACTTTAGTCTTGAAGGTGGAAATACAATAAAAACAGAGAAAACAACAAACTTCATTCAGGTGGCAGCCTTCAATCAAACAGTCATCTACAGTTATCGCGGCCAACAAAGCTACATCGAGAGGAGTTAGCAAGATAGGACAGGGAAATGAAAAATAAATCAAAGTGGAAAGAAGATGGGAAGGAGTGACTCCGGTATAGTATTAGCCATCAGGTGTTTCGGGTGTCACAGTTACGGGCACATAGGCTCAAACTATCCCACGAGCTGAGTTGTCACATTCCCAAATCAGGGCATCTTCGAGGAGGTGGACGACAAGAAATCAAAAGATAATCCAGAGGAAGAACTTCAACTCCAGGGGGATGAGGGAGAATTTCTAGTCATACAGAGAGTTTTACAATTAGGGACGGAGCGAAATTAATCATAGCTAAGGCACAGTATGTTCCACACCAAGTCTATGGTAAAACGCAAGGTTTACAACTTGATCATCGACAGTGGGAGTTGTAAAAATGTGGTGTCCACGCTGATGGTGAAAAAAATTGGGATTGGCCGCACAAAATCATTCCCAGTCCTACTCCCTCACCTGGTTGAAGAATGTAAATGAGATACGCGTGGATTAGCACTGCTTGGTCAAATTTTCAATTGGGGATCAGTTGGAGAAACAAGTATGTTGCAATGTGGTCCCCATGGATGCATGTCATATTATATCAGGGAGGACTTGGCAGTTCGACCACAAGACTCAAACACGATGGCTTCAAGAATAGTTACTCTTTTAAAATAGATGGGAAATGCATTGTGTTGTTACCTGTTAAGGATGCGGAAGTGTAGGTGAAACAAATGAGACGTTAATCCCAAGAGCCACCCTGATGCAGTTAGTTTGGAATGCCTAGTGGCACTGACATTAGTCCTACTAGAGGGGACTAAGGAGGAGAATGAGATATCAACACCACTACAACCACAATTACATGTTTCCAGGATGTGATGACTAGCAGTCTTCCGGAGGGGCTATCGCTATCGAGGGATATTCAGAACTTCATAGATCTCATATCATGATCAATGTTGTCAAATGCCTACAAATTGAGACAAGTGGAGTATGAGAAGTTGCAATGACGAGTACAGGATCTCGTCACGAGAGGGCTGGTCAGAGAGAGAATATATTTGTGTGTCGTCCCCGCCCTAATTGTATCTAAGGGCAGTCCATAACAGACGTGCGTTGACAGCAGAGCCATCAACAAGATTATCATCAAGTATTGGCTTCCCATGCATCACATGGACGATCTCTTATATTAGTTACATGGAGCACTATCATTTTCAAGATCAACTTACGCACTGGGTATCACCAAATCCCTATGAGACAATGAGACGAGTAGAAGACCACGTTCAAGCCACGAGATGGTTTATACGAATGGACCGTTATGCACTTCAGCTTGTCAAAGACGCCTAACACTTTCATGAGGTTGACGAATCAGGTGTTCTGAGTTCATAATGGGAAATTTATGGTCTATTTTAACGACATTCAACTGTGCAGTCGATCTGAGAAGGAACACTTACACCACCAAAGGGCAGTGTTTGAGGTATTGCAAACAGAGAAAATATATGCTCATCCAAAGAAGTGTCGCTTCATGACAGACCAGGTATGTTATTTGGGTTATAACGTGTCTAGTGCAAGCATTCAGGTGGATCCAATTAAAATCAAGGCTATTGTGAGCTAGACCGCACCAAATTCATTCACCGAACTGAAGCAATTTTTGGGACTAGCATCGTTTTACAAGTGATTCATCAAAAGCTTTAGTATCATCACTGTCCCTATGACGGATATTTTGAAGGGAGATAAATTCCAATGGATAGAGGCAGCTTAGAATAATTTAAATGCGCTCAAGGAGAAGATGACCCACGAGTCGGTCTTGGTACTACCA